ATGATCGCACCACGTTGTGTTAAAATGGACAAGCACCCTCGAGGCAGTACAAGAAGGAGACGGACGTGGACATGACCAAGCTGGGAAAAGCAGAAGAATAGTACAGGGAGATGTTTGAAGCATGGGACAGCCAGGAGAAGACGCTAGCTGTACTGGGGCATAGGAAGTGGGTTGAAAAGGCGGAAAGTTATATAGGTAAGACAAACAGACTAGGGAAGACATTTTTGAGCCACCTTTGGCCAAGTAGGAAGGAGCGATTGGCCATCGTTGATCGATCCTGTGGGAACAATGCTCCGTCCTCTCGAGGACGCGTGGTCAAGGGTCAAACCGCTATGGCCTGCAAAACGCAAGAGTACGCCCCTCCCCCGGTGTTTGCCATGGGGGTTGGGTTCGTTGCTTGGCAGCGATGTTGTACAAGCCTTATGATAGTTTTTTTTTTTGGGATAACCACGAATGGTGGCTTTTCAGTTGTCTCTGGAAATGAAAGCACCAGAAACTGAATTCAGTCATACGCAGCTGTCATCCGTACGCAAGGAAGTAAGCGCAAGATGCCGAACACCCTTAGCGGGACGCAGCGCACCATTCATGTGACTCGCCGAATATCTCACGGCGCTTCGCGCTTGGTGATGTGAGAGCCTGGTCCGGTGAGAACCCGGCGTGCTCCGTCCCGGCTTTGTAGGGATGCGAGGTCAATGGTCTAACGACTACGGCATGCACGACTATGAGTACACCTTCCCATCCGTCGGAACCAGATTTTTTTGCCGACCGATATGTCTTGTTTTGGTCTGTTGTGCGCATACCCTTTGCCAGAGCGTTGTGCTGATCTCATTGGCACACCCAAACGCGCGCGGATGGTGAGAGGTCAGGGAGCCGGATGTCCAGCCAAGCATTTCTGTTTCTCTGCGTGGCTTGCCAAGCCGGACCTGGTGCACGCCATATGCAAGTGTCAACGAAATCATCGTAGAATGCCGTGTTGTAAAATGAATCGATAGCTTAAAAGGCAAGAATTGTTGGAAGCATTCATCGTGGTCGGCATACCCTCACCGCCCACCCCTATATGCCAACAACTCGCGTACCCATATTCTCTACTCGATTGCCAGCATTTTCGTCCACTCGTCCACCACGTTGCCCGTGGTTACCATCATTCGCCCGTCAATGGTGGCTGAAGCCATGGGCACGAAGGGATCGCCGCAGCTGAGGTGCTGAGTTAAGGAGTTGCTGTCCTTGGCCGGGGCCCCGACACACTTTCTTCGTCTACTGGACGGGACTCTTTCTCGTTCTCTGGCGACGTGTGCCTGCAGCCGTAGCTTTAATGACAAAATTCGCATGTTTTTTCTGTTTCGTCGCTCATTTTTCTTGAAGCAGTCGACGATGCTGTGGATTGCCCCCTTAAAAGGCGTGTGTGAGTGCCCTCCGTCACATTATCAACACATTTCGTACCTATATTACAAGAGCAAAGTTACCCGCGTTTCCCATCCAACCCTGGGAGGGTGCCAACTTCTATCACGGAGGCCGGCTGAAAAACTTTTTCAGTCCCAACGGGTCCTTCAGCGTTGGTGGTGGGAACCATTTGGGCTGATTGGCCATGCCTCGTGTGAAAAACGATCGTCAATGGGGCCACATTAGAAACACTGAATCAGGAACTCCTAATTGATTCACAAGGGGTGATGATGGAAAATAATACCTCTCATATCTACTCTTTAGGAGACCTCCAAAATTAGCGGCCGAGAGGGGAGGAACCGAAAGCATGTGGCATTGAGGAGACTACATCAATCTACGTCGATACACATGTTGTACAGTAGTTTCCGTCCCTAGACAACTCTACCGCTCCCAGCGCTCTCATAATTGCAAATTGCGTTTCGTGTTGTAAACTCCGAAACTTCGAGCTCCCCTGGAATATATGCCCACGTGTTTATTTTTCGGCTGGTCGGCCCTCGTGAACAAACGATTTTGACGGGTTGACGGTCGGTGTGTAATTGTTTTCTAAAAAGCGCTGCTTCCCCAACGAAGAATGAAAAAGAGCGTAAGCAACGGCATGATGACATGCACATTGCAGTCTATGCCCCAATGTAACACATGTCGCACATCCTACACGTTTCTTTCATGATGGATATGGACGGTGTGATACTACGCGAAGAGAGTAGTAGTGGACCATGGATGCGGCCATCTATTGCCGAAGACGTTGTTGAGCAAGAAGCAAAATAACGCATCATTTTCGCCTTCTACTCTATAACGCCGATTCAGGAAGACCCCACGGCGTTTGACCGAATCCTCGACCCGTCTTGGATGGGAGAATCCTTGGGTAATTTTTCGATTTTCAACGAACAACCCGGCAGAAATGCTGTGAGAGCTGATTTGATCATGATGAACAATACTTAGAGAAGAAAAATCGACGACGTCGGGAGGTCAGTTGAGAATTTTCTAGACGAGACATTAGTTAACAAACACTTCGATGGTAGAACCGCGCTTGCGTCGGGACGACTTGCTCAACAGATCCAAGGCGAGAGATTCATTTTTTCCGGCATAGTTCAGGACGATGAAAAGAAGAGACACAGCAAGACGAAGAGGAGTGATGACGAGGAAAAGCATGGTGGCACAATTGCTTTTCTGGTTGTGCCTGTGCTGATGCGCTCGGACGGGAGTGACCTTCGGCGAGGGGGCATGGGTCGCGATAGGCCCTATCGAGGAAATTTCCAAGATATCGCGAAACGTGCGCCGTAGGTCGACATCGGTCTGTTGCTTTCTGCCACGCAAGCTGACCCTTCTGATGCAAAGCGTCGCCAAATTCGTGTGCGAGTTTCACTTGTCATCGCAACGCATCTCATTGCACCCTTGTCGCCAGGTCGGCCTCGCCCCCCCAGCGTGCTTTGCCCCTCACCCATCCAATAGTATTTCCAGAGACAATAGTCTATGTTATTGCTGCCATGCTAGCAGCGAATCATATGAATGCTACGAAACAGACATCATTGTCAACACCTCCATGACTTGCAGGGTCGTGGAAAGCTTCGTTTTTTCCTGGAACGCTTTCACGGAGAGGGTTGTTGGCGGAAACATTGTCGCGGCGAGCGGAGAGCCTGCTTCTTTCGCCTGGAAACGCGTCGGAGCGAACCGACATATTCCAGTCCATCTACCCGCAAGAGGTTTCCAAGCTTGCCCGGAGAAATAGCCGCGAAACCTTGGCCATGGTGTATCGTCAGAGAAATAGCGCAAAAAATCCAGAACCATTGTCCGCCTGCACAGGAGTCTGGAGTTAAGCACGGGGGATTGAATTTCGGCGCACAGGAGAGTGACCGTAATATGCTTGGCAGACCACAAATTCTCCGCTCACAAGAGGGTACGCGAAGGGCAGCGTGCTCGGCGGTTCTTACCATGCCCCAAAAAGAAACAGCCACCATTAACGTTGACATTGCAGCTGTGACGTGCAAAACACAACGGTTAGGGCCTTGTCTACCATCTCTACTTGGCCCACTTTTGTTCGGTTGCTCTTGGCAAAAAAAGGTTGATCCTTCTACATCAGCCCAAAAAAGCGGCAGCACAAGAAATGCACACATTAGATAAAAGGTAACACTATTTCACACAAAACACACCAACAAACCGTCACCTGTTCAAAACGTTAACATAAGTACCTTGCTCTGAGAGGGAAACTAACATGCAACAGCAGGAGGGGTGGAAGGACGGCGAAACCTATATAAATCATTCACCGGCGGCGTTGTTCTTCGACGGCGACGTGATTCAATTTTCATTTTTCTGTGGGAAACTTGGGGCGCCATTCGCACCATCCTTGGACGTGAGTGCAACCCAGCTCTTACGGGACGCTGACCCCTCCGACGTATAGAACTAAATACCGTAGCTGACGCAAGCTACCGCACCCCCTGGAATTTTTTCAAAGCTTGACTACGTCCGGACGAATGCGATGTCAAAATCGAGCGATTGTTGTTTCGAAAGATCTAGACGAGACGGTTCCAACGCCGCCATTTTCGGCACCGCCACTATTTCTAACCTGGAGTAATGGGACATCGAAAACCGGTCCAGGGGGTGTGAAATCTTGTGTCACCTACGGAGGATGTCGCAATCCTTCTAGAAAATCGGGAAAGCGTGGGCCTCCGTGTTGAAGACGTAGCTGTCGAACGGCAGGGGGTTTTTCTCCGAGAATATGAGCAGCAGGTACTTGAGGCTCTCGCTCACGAAGAAAGTGTCCATCTTATTGAGCCTCTCCGAGCGCACCTGAAAATTTGATCGCGAGAGGGCCAAAAAAAAACAAATAAACACGAACCCTTTGTACGCAAGACACAACAAAAGAAATGAACTAAAGCGGGCTGCACAGTGGAGACAGCTACAGTAGGCCTCTCACGCGCATGCGGAGACGTCTACAGCTTGACGCAGCCTTCGTCCTTGTCGAAGATGAGCGACAGCTAAACGAAAACACGGCTCCAACATTTCAATCATTGCCAGAAAAGCGGCAGGGTATGACGAGGGCGTACGTACTCACTTTCTGCCTGTTTTGAGTCTATTCTTACATCCCCCTCAAGACTGTGCACTGGGCTCATTTGGAATAAAAGACGCCCGAAAAAATAACGGGGCCCTCGGCGACACTGCATCAACAAAAATAAAAAAAAATCTCGAGGTATCTCCGAGTCCCTCGCTCTGTCGTGACCACATATTCTCATACGATTATTTACCGAACTGGTCGGTTTGCTCTTTCGGAACCTTGGTCAAAATCTCATTAACGGAATGAATCACTTCACTTCCAACATTCGAAGTGAAGGCCCCATTCCAATGGCATGAATCTATTCACTCCCTGACTGCGGACTAGATCAATTTTCTCATATCTCTAAGGACCCTCCTCCATGGAATTATTTCATTCCGGAACCCCTAGATCTCGGAATTCTCCATGAGGAAAAATGAATAATCAAATCACACCCAGACAAACGAAATCTGAAACCCCTGCTCCATGGAATGGAATGAATCTGTTCACTCCCGGACATACAGAATTCAAATTCTCTCCACGACGCAAGAGATCATTTCACTGTACTTACGGAATTCGAAAGCCACTTTGTCATTTAACAAATCAATTCACTCCAATACGCACACGAACTCGAAATTCTCCATGAAATCAAGGTATTCACTCCCACACAATCGGAATTCCAAATCCCTCCTCCAGGGAATGTGTCTGTTCACTCCCATAAATATGGACTTCGAACTTCGCCAATATCATGACTTCGCCTCATTTTTCTTCTCCGCTCTATTTGACTCCTGTTGAAAAATATTTGTCAGTCTATTGGGCGATATTGACACGCTTTGCACATCCACTTTCCTGGACTTCCCCCGTCTAAACATCGCACTTGTTATTTTTTCTCGTCTTCATCCTGGCTGCAACCTTGTCCCCCACATGACGTGAGCGGAATGATTCGAACTGGCAAAGGTACGGACGTGCCGCAAGAGGAATCATTCGTACTGGCAAAGGTTTAGGATGTGCTTGCGCACGCGTTGACAAATGGGAGGGGGCGTTGCCGCGTGGTGAGGCGAACAGGTTTGGTTTTACACAAAATGGCGTTTCTATTCCACAATCCTTCATCAAGAACTTCCTTCGCGCCGGTGGACGGACAGGCACACGGACATTATTTCTTGCTCACGTCGGTAACGTCTTTGAGCCCGGCGTAGCCCCCTCGGTCCACCCGGCAGTGCTCCTCGAAGGCTTCGAAGATCGTCCATGCCTGCTCCCGGTACCCTTCCTCGCCGGTAATCCAGTACAGGTAGTAGAGCGACTCCAGAGTCTCGGGGCGGAGGAGGTTATGTCTATCTCTCCTAAGAGCATTCACAAACGAATTCGGAGGCGAAATGCGGGTGAGCGAACGTCAGAGCGCCCTCAGGGGGAGCCGCGGATTGGATGTGGGGAGGTCTGCGCGGCGTCCCGTGCGGAGAAGAAGCCAGTGCGAGAACGACCCGAGGGACTAAAAGCGGTCAGGGGATTTAGCCCTCTTCGAAAATCGGCCGGGGGGATACACATTATAAAGATTCAAGCAGAAATGTTCGAACATAGACGCCAATTTCCTCGCAGTTGTTCTGCCGCTTGACTGGGCTAAAAATCGGACCAATAGATGAGATGCGTCCGTCGAGCTGTCAGAATTCGCGCTGGAACATCAAGCTGCGTGAGGTACCGCTACGTCTGAGATCGCAGTATGTCCTATACCGATCGTTGGGGCGTAGAACCATGGGCCTCAGCTCCACATAAAACAAGCGCATTAGGGTCGCGCTTTTCAAGTGTGCAAGGCCGGAAAAACAACCAACGGGCTAGGGCTAGCTGCTGGAGTCAAAAAATGTAACCGAGACAAAAAAAAACAGGTAGCGGCGGCACTCACGCTTTGATGATCATGTCTTCCCCATGACCGCCGCCGCCATCGCTCCCGCCATTTGCGGTCTTAAAGTGCACGATCTCCGGGGCCAAACCCGTCCCCGTGCGCTCGTACATCTATTCGTGTGAGGCAGCCGGGAGCAGCCAAACCGTCAGCAGCATCAACCGGGTAGGGCTTCCGCGTGGAGCGGGCATGCGGGACGCACTGCGCACTAACAGGACGCACGGTGGCAAAAAAAAAAGAACAGAGCTTGACAGAAACAGGCTCGAACTTACGAAGACGGAGGCTTTGGCTTTAGCGAGAACCCGCAGGCTCCAAACAGTACAGGCCTTACAGGCCTTCCCACCCTTCCTAGAGAGCATCCCAACCTAATAAAAGTCTCTGTGACCAACCCGATAGCAAAGTATCCGTGATCAATCTCAGAAATACGTACGTAGCACGCTTCCATGACTAATCTGACAGCAAGTTCCAGAGTCAACTTGATCCTCAGAAAGTCTCCATGACCAGCTTGATAGCAAGTCTCCATATCGATCAACCTCATAGCAAGTCCCCACGGCCAACCTGATCCCAAGCTTCCATGAACAACTTGATGCATGTCTTTATGACCAACTTGACAGCACGTCTCCATGACTAACCTGATAGCATGTCTCCATAAGCTCTCGGGCCAACGCCAGGTGCCCGTCGCCCTCCCCGGCCGCCCCTCGCAATTGGCCCAAAGCCAAAGTTCCTGGGAGGAAGCAGACGAGGTGGTCCATCTGCCCGAGAAACAAGATAGAAATAACGACAACAGCAACATCAAGACAACTTAGTATTGTCGATGATTGCTTTTCTGAGGTCTTGGGGATGAGTTGTTGGAAGAAACGACGACATTGACACGATGTAGTGTTGTCGCTGTTCTATATACACGACAATTACTGCCGCTGTTTGTTTTCTTGAGCGGTCTTCGATGCGTTGTTACCAAAAATTCAACATCGACACGATTTAGTGTTGTCGATGGTTGCTTTTCTGAGGTCTTGATTGGGCTGTTGGAGGAAACGACAACATCGACACGATTTCGTGCTGTCGCTGTTGGATTTTCCAGCGGTTTTTAATGCCTTGTTGGAAAAACGACAACATCGATATACACGACTGTTGTCACCATTTTTTCAGCGTTCCTAAACGAGTTGTTGGAGAACTCGACAATATCGGGTCGATTTCGAAGTGAAAGTCGCTGGTGTTGTCGCCGCTTGCTTTTCAACGGACTTGAATGCAGCATTGGTTGTCTCGGGTGGTGGCATTGTCGTTTCTGCTATCCGCGGCGGTGTGTTGGTAGCGCCGCACATGTCGCAAAAAGAGAGCAACAATCGGGACGACGCTTGCCGTCCGGCACCGAGCAAACAGCGAAACAGTCCTGGCCATGCCGTCTAGGTCGGTGCGCAAAACCCTGGAGCCTAACAATGAAGAGCAAGAATTTTCGCAACAACAACAACATTCCTCGGAGGGCTCTACCTTGGTCCCTGAAAAACACCGTCTCCTGACACATGCATGTCGCATTTGTCACGATATCCCAACCGATATTCGGTAGGTTGCATGAATCCCCATGGGGTGAAAAATTTACGAAATGTGCGGGTGAAAGCGAAATAGCTGACAAGCTTTCGGGAGTACCAAACTTCGACGTTAGCACCGTTGACGACGGAAAGGGACGGCTGGACCCTTCTCGCGATAAAAATAAAATTCAGCACGCACCGCAGGAGGAAGGTAAGGCATGAAAATAAATAAAAAGAAGAAAAAAGCCCTGGTGTTTACCCCCTCCTGTGTGACCCTGGATGGTTGTAGTTGTACGAAAAAATATACTGAAAAATGTAGTACTCTACATACGCTGAAAAGTGTAGTACACGTCTCACCACGAAAAATGGGGGGACTGTCGCGATAATAATGGGACGAAAGCACACACACACACACACACACACAACACACACATGACACATGATATTACACACGCTGGACAAATTTTCGAGGCTCTACTACTTGGCAGGAAAAACAGGAGGGGTCCCGAAAAATGGCGGAATTTGAACTACTCTCTCGTCGAGAGCGTCCCGAAACTTTATCATTTTATTCGGCATCATCTTCTTCGTCGCGGAACAATAGAGGTTTGAATTCGATTCAGGGGGTGCGGCATCTTGTGTCATGTCACCTACGGAAAAACCGCGGCAATTCTCGACCAGGTACGGGACGGACGGCACTAGAACCAACGTTTCTGCTCGCTTACGCTCCAAAAGACTCTTGGCTTGTGTGTACTCCGCAGTATACGGATCTCCGAGGGATACGCAGATGCGAAGGATGTGATGGACTTGACCCGCTACATTGGCTTTGCTTGCCTTGTCCATGTCCCTACTCTCTGAATTACACTCCAAGGAATTTGAGGCACTACCCCTTTGCGCAGAAACGCGCTCGACAAGAGCCCACGTGAGTGACGAACGGAGTAAACGCGCCAACATCTCCCTTTCGTCTTACCTTCGGCGAGAAGTTTTCACCGACTAGCTCGCCGACGAACCACAGGTCCCCCGGGTAGGACTTCTGAAGCAGCGTGGCCTCCACCGCTCGAACTGCCTCCTGGTACCTCCGAAGGTACTTGGTGTCTCTATGTAAGGGAGCGCGCGACGGGAGCGATGACCGAGAGTTGGGGAAAGTGAGACACAACGGCATGAGGAAAGTCGAAAGCGAAAGCCCATATGTTGTTCTAGCCAATGAATGAGCAGGGGGCAAGAATGAGAGATCGAAAGGAAAAGCCCGTATATTGTGCAAGCCCATGGGATGGGGGCAAAGCACCCTCCGGTAAATTTCAGAGGGGACTCGGATCCCACACACCCTCCCCGTCGCACGACAAGAGGGTTTCACAACCTCGACGAGAGAGCATTGCCACTGGCATCCATCTCACCGTCCAAGGACGGGACAGTCGTTGCCTCAACAACGAGACCAAGCTGTACTCGAAGAGCCTGCGCACTTGGCAGTGAGCGCTCACAAACAGCAGCCCGTGCAACACAACAGCAACCACTTCACTTTCTGTTTCGTGAGATCAGTTCGACTCACTCACTACTCGCGTAGCACTCCAGCGAGAAAAAAAAAAGAACCCCCTCGAACCTTTGCAGGATGCAGCGCACCCTTCATGCGACTCGCCGAATATCTCACGGCGCTTCGCGCTTGGTGATGTGAGAGCCTGGTCCGGTGAGAACCCGGCGTGCTCCGTCCCGGCTTTGTAGGGATGCGACGTCAATGGTCTAACGACTACGGCATCCACGACAATGAGTAAGAGTACACCCTCTCGAACCGGTCACGGGCCTACCCGAGCTGCAGCAGCAACAGCAGCAGCAGCAGCAGTAGCAGCACCGACCGCCATAAACAACAGTAAAAACTCACTTCTTGCCGGAAAACAGCCACTGCTTAAGCAGGTACTCGTAGTACGAGTCTCCCCTCGCGCCGAGAGTGACCAGCCCGCGATTCGTCCCAACCGCCCCGCCAGACTCCCCGAAGAGCCCTGTCTTGGGATCGACGAAAACAGGAGCTAACCCCTGACCGTGAGAAAGAAATACCGTCGATCATATCGTGGAAGAGCGTCAAGGAAATACCCATGGTAACACCCACGGCAATAACCCGGCGATGAGGGTGACAATCACCCCCCAAGCGTGAAGGGATGACGGAAGGCTGCTTGCGTGCGGTCGACACGAATTCATGGGCCAACGAAGAGCGGCTGCGACATAAGGAAATCCAAGTAGCCTATCACGGTCATCAAGAGAGAGAGACTGCATTTCCTATAACAACAGTCTCGTTTGAGAGGACCACAAAAGATTTCACCATTGCCTTGTCACTACCCGCTCTCCAACACCGTAGCCGCTGCCCTGAAACGGCAATCAGACGCCCAGCAAATGTTGAGCACTGAGGGGCCGCTCCGAAAACCAAAGAAGAAGTGCCCAAACGTTTGGCCTGTTAGCCGGAGGGGCGACATCTACCGGCAACGGCTACAAAAAGCAGCCTTCGTTGTTCCTAACCCAAGAAACCCATCAACCAAGAACCTGGGGAGCAAGCAGCATTCACTCCACGAATCCCCCCCCTGACACTCAGCGAAAAGCTGCCAGTATTTCCGTCAATCAATTAGCCCGCCGCTCGGTCAACTAGCCAATAGTCACTCCTTGCATTCGCCCGCCACTACGCGAATTGCCCCGCGCTAACCCGTCAAATTAGCCCCGTCGGTAACCCGTCGGTCACCTGCCTCTCCCCTCGGCCCTTCTCCCCCCAGGCAAGCTTGACGATCGCTTCCTCGACTGCGTCAGAGGCTCGCTGCGCAGCCCCGTGGAAGGAAGGGTCCCCCGTAAGCTTCGTCAGATAACTGCAAATAACGGCGGGGCGGGGGGCAATCAGGGGAGACGGCAGGGGAAGGCTGCGGGAACTCACTTTTGGATGGAGGAGAAGGAGGAGGAGGAGGAGGTGGAGGAGGCAGCGGGAGATGTGTCGTACGGAAAGGTTGGGCTCATGAAGGGGGCGGAGAACTGCCACATGTTTTTCTAATGTAGATCGGCCTACTATGCCAAGGACGATAAAAAACCAACCACCACCTCATGATCGCCCTGCCGACTGCCCGCACCCATTTGTGGGCCACAGGTCGCGCGACAACAAAGTAAACGAGAGGCATCCTTCGGGGGCGGGCGTGCTCATGTGTTGCATGCCTTAGCGGTTAGACCATTAACCACGCGTCCTCGAGAGGACGGGGCACTGTTTCTCCTACAGGATCGGTCACCGATGGCCGCTCCTACATTGGCAACGGTGGCTCAGAAATGTCTTCCCTAGCCTATCCATATCCCTTCCCGCCTTTTCAACCCACTTCCAATGCCCAACGGGTTCCTTCTTTCCCGACTATAAATTCCGGCTCTATTGTCACACCTGAACTCCAGCTGAAGAGTCGTGGCCTCCGAGAGCGAGCTGCCCGGGGACGACCTTGGGTTGAAGGCGCGGCCCGATCTCAAGTTCACGTCCGAGTAGGGAATCCCGGACCTGCAATGAGTCGGATCGCCGGAAGATGCTTCATGCGTCTCATCTAGTTTCGTTCCTCTTGGTTGAAAAATGTCCTACAGTCTCTACAGTACACTGCCTGATAACCATGTCGATGCTAAACGAAAGGATATAATAATATGCTGGTGGCAGACGACGCTACATCTATAGGTCCGAGTACAGACAAGACACCGCCGCCTTCCGAAAAGAGTATCTCCTCAAGTTGTCGTCACACGATAAAAATCTCCGCCTATCGGCCCCGTAAATAGAGCATTGCTCTTGACACAGAAAGTTCGAAAAAAGGATATCACAGACGTTTGAACTTTCCACTTGGTCGAATGACTCTCTCATCTCTACCAACTGAATCTCACAACCAAGCTTCCCGTGTCCCGTGTCGATGCTAAGGATAAGGATATGTACGGGCGAAGGTCACTCTTGGTGTCGGGGTGAGTTGGCTGCTGCTGCTACAGCCGTCATCTGAAGATCCACGTTCTAAGTGCGCACCCCGCCTGTCTCAACCCAAGATTGACGCCAATACTAGAGGAGAGAGCTTGTGAAACCACCCCCGTTACCACGTTGCACCACCCTACAGCAAGGGCGCCCAACGTACGGTAGACCGGGGTTGGGAAAGGAAACAAGTGAATCGGTCAAAATCGTCTAAAAGCTGTAGAAACCACAACCATCACCTAGATGGCTGGCGACGGGCTTTTCGGTGGGGCGCTTGCCGGAGGGACCGGGGCGGAGAAGCGGATGAGGAGCCGACAAACAAAGCTGGCAACGCCACTGCACACCTAAGGGAAGGCAGGGGTTGTGGCTACCGGTGTCATCGTCTACGGCCTGAGGTGCCTCGGCGACAAGAGAGCATCACCGGCCATTTGAGAATTGCCCCTACCCTACCGCTAGCAAAGAAGACACAAAATACGGTGTTTCGTTGAATCCCGCAAAACAAGTAGAGAGAGAAGAGGGGGGAGGGGCGTACTCATGGTGTGCATGCCTCTAGCGGTTAGACCAATGCGGGAGGGGTCAACTTACGGCGAGTCGAAAGCCTTGGACAGCCTGCGGCCGAGGTCTGCGGCCTTGGTCAGGAGGGCCTCCTCGCCGGAAAGGTGATACGCCGCCAGCAGTCCTCCGAGCACCCGGATGGTCGTCTCGAAGACGTTCACGTTCTGCAACAACTCCCCCAGCAGCAGTAGCAGCAGCACCAGCATTAGCAAAATATTGGGCAGTGCGCAAAAATAATTTCACACCTAGACCAGAGGAAGGAGGACCCGGAGGAACAATCAAATCCAATGAGACCGGCGACCCAGCGTAGCAAAGGGGCGTTACGCTCTGCATGCCTCCCCAACGAACCGGAAACGCGGCGGGGGACAGCCCCAGCACTGAACGGCAGTCTATGTGCTGTTATAGAGCAGCCTCTCTCCACCGTCGACGCGAAACCGCAAGGTGTGCCGAACAGATGATTCATATCATTCGAGCGCCAGCTTACAGCGCTCGGGGACGATCGATCTCCTCCCTCAAGGACAACAACAACACCTCTGCGGTGCCCTGTCCACGCAACGAAGGCGGCCACGGACCTGGTCGACGTCCAGGTCCATGACGTTGGTCACCCAATGCAGGCACCGGGCGAACTCCTCCCTCTCTCCGGCCAGCCAGAGCGTGTCCATCGAGTCGACCTGCGTCGTGGGAAACAGACACCCGAAATGATCAAGGTGAGGATGCGATGCGACGGATCGCTCGGCTGTCTGGTTGTAGCGGAGCCAGGCGGTGTTGGGTGCAGCATAGACTACTCCTCGAAAAGCTTCGCCTCAATGGAGAGGTGGAAAAAAGGGGCAGCAAGGCCATTAGGAACAAGCGCGCCGCGGCTTTTCTTGTCCTCGGGCGTGGCCCGCAGCGGTCACAACAGCTCCTTTGCCGTTTCCTCCTCTGGTCTCACTTCCCGGCGAACGAACCCCCCGTGTTGGGTGAAGAAAAACGTAACGGCCAGTCGGGTGTTCGAATAGACACCAACACTGTCTGGTTCTTTCTCAAGGCAACGCGGCTACGGCGTCATCTTACACCCGGACCAGAACATCCGACGTAGGTTGGGTTGGTGCGACGGCCAGCGGAAGCACGAACGAGCTTCGCATGAGAGATGCCCTCGCGATTCACAAGCGCCAGGTGCACCCATCAACACTCACGATGGTTAGGCCGAGTCTGAAGGAAGTCTTGCCTCGCCTCGTCAAGGGGTTGAGCTCGTCCGTTCCCCAGGCGTGGGTGGTGTATCCCTGTGGTAAACGAAGACAGGAAGACACATGTTGTATACAACTAGCCCATACGCGAGTGATAGCGCACGGCAGTCAGCAACACACGCACACATGTGACCCCGGTTGGGTCGTCTAGCTGGTAGAAGTCGAGGATAGGGGCCAGAGGGGCAGACGACAGAGTCCAATGATGGGAGAAAAAAAAACAAAAAAAACATACGCATTGTGTCAACGGGGGAAACTGAAGGGGGCGAGATACGGAATACAATCAATTTCGCGTGCAACCGTTAAACGCTGCGTGCAACCCCCCCTTGGGGGGTAGAGAAAGACGACAGCTGGCAGCACCACGCCCTTTCGAAATCGGCACCGCAGGATGCTCAATCCGAGAAACGAACAGTGATAGGGTCGTCCTACCGTCCCTGACTTGTGCATCAGGCACCGACACGCCACTCGACGAAACACAAGGTTAAACAAACCTGCAGTACCATACACCGGTGCTTCCCGACAGATTGATGCAATCAAAGGCCGGCGGAAACCGTCATCGATTGGCTACGAAAAGGAAACAAGCAAAAGCTCGTGTGAATATATCATCACTCTGCGAATCTTGCTCGATCGTATCTTCATCAGCCATGAAGTGCGGGAGGCTTTCATTTCGGCCCGGACGAGTTGGCCGGGTGCAACTCAGAACTCTGCGACCAATCGCTCAGTCGCGGTCGCCGGGCAGCCAGCATGCTTGTCCCAAGCGTCCCCAATCGATCAACCAGGTCATCGTGCGTGGACGAAGCTAAGGTTAGGGGCAGCACGCGAACACAACGCGCCGGGGGGACGCACCTTCCAAGCCCATCGGACCGCAGTCAACACGGCCTCCCTCTTCTCCTCCAGCAGCACTTCATCAACCAGCTCCTTACCGGCCGCCCTGGCCCTTCTCCTCCTCCCCGCGGCGGCAGCCTCGCCCCCGCCCCCTCCTGCCACCGCCGCTGCCGCCTTAACTTCAAGCGCCTCCTTGAAGCGGCTCCACACGGCGTGAGCCCCGGCCTGGGGCATTGAAAGGTCTTCCCCTATCCTCCACCCGCCTCTCGGCTTCGCATCAGCGCCGGCGTTGTCGCCTGATACCACCCCGCTCCCACCAGAAGCCCCGTGGCCACTGCTCCTCCGCTCTTTCGGCGTGTCGCTACCCACCCCGCCCGTGTCGACAACACCGCTGCTGTTAGGCCCGCCTCCGCCGTTGCCGCCGCCGCCGCCGTTGCCGCCGCCGCCGCCGCCGCCGGTGCCGCCGCTACCCTCGACCGACGCGTTGCACTCCGACAGCTCGGTAGCGGCGGGGACCGCTGCTGAGACAGCGATGTCGGTGGTTTCAGCGAAGGCGGCAAGTGCAGCAAACTTTGCGACACCTTCCTCACTAAGAGCACGAACCCCGGCACCAGCCGCCGCCGCCGCCGCCGCCGCCGCTGCCGCTGCCGCTGCCGCCGCGCCATCGTGCCTGTCGTGGTCGGCGTCGTCATCCTGCATCGCGTAGTCCGCTGCGCTACCGCTGCTGCAGCCATCCCGCAAGCCTCCTTCCGCCCGACTGCTCTCCCAACCCACTCCCCACCCTTTCTCCTCCTCCCCCATGGCCTCGTTGCCATGCCTGATGCCGCCGCCGCCGACCCCGCCATTGACGTCGTCGCCTTTTCGCCCGAAAAATTCTTTTCTCTTCCTCTGATCCGAGGGCAACTGGATGGGGGTAGGAGCTTCCACCGGAAGTGATGATGGTTGTGGCTTGGGGTCGTTTGTTTTGCACGAGGAGGAGGAGGAGGAGGAGGAGGAGCAAGGGGCTGGCTCAGCGAGGACGAACCCGTAGCGCTGGTGTGCTCGCGCGAGGAAGATGACCTGTTGATGGGGGGGGATCGCGCAGTGGGGCGTAGAGGGCACGAACGGACGAGATGGACTGGTCATTTACCCAGGGTTCGTGTACACACGCAATGGTGAGACTGGCCGCCAGTGGGGGTGCAGTACAGAGCAGCGCCTGCCTGCCAATACACTTGAATATCCTAAGGTGTGGTACAAAGGGAAGCAGGTAACCAGTACTCTCGAGTCTTCATTAACTTGAGTCGATCGTTGAAAAAAGTAAACTGGTGTAGCAGAACACAGACAACACGAGCATACTACATGGCAAGCGCTCCGAAGTATCGCTGTGTCGCATTTTCCTAAAACGGACGTGGATAAAACAGCACCAACCCAACACTCCTGAAGTTTCAAGTGACCTCGAGCACGATCGAACCCACAATGGGGCAGGTCGTGCAATATTGAATGACAACTGCTGGGCCATCTATGGCTACTGCCGAGGAACATGTGGCAGGGAGAGGGCACAGCCAATATCCGCCCGTCTCGCACCGCACACGGCAGCGGTGGCACAGTCTAGAATCCCGATCTACAAGCCTCGCCAGTGAAGGCGAGAGTACTTGTTGCGCTTATTCGCGCCATTTACCGACAACGACCTTCGAAACACTTGCACAGCTCTAACATCGGGAATTCTATGTGTGTGTGATACCGATATGTCCATGATGACCGACGTGCGGCGGATCACCTGTTATGGGGGCGTTGCGCAGAATCTGCAACAATACTACACGATGGGTTCAGCTTCCACACGGTCCACTCGGTAGACTTCTAGGGTGAACAGGTGACGTATGGTATCAGACCCCCTGGACCGATTTTCAAAGATCGATTTTTCCACGGCGGGATGAAAGGCGGTGCCGAAAACGGCGGCGTTTGAGCCAGCACGTCGACAGCTTTCCAGCAACGCATCGCTTTATTTATGGATCCACTTCGCTGTGGAATCGTCGTGTGAAAATCGGTCCAGGGGGTGCGGTATCTTGAGTCAGCAACGGTACTATTTTATTTATTTATTTTTGTATTTTTCCTCCCATCATCGGATTATGTCGTCTTCCCCTCTGGCCCCAATCCTCCACTTCTACTAGCTAGACGACCCAACCGGGGTCACATAGGAGGGGGGCCTGGATCCCCTTCTGCGGTTCCTGCCTGAGGTAGTTTTATCGCGAGAAGGGTACAGTAATGCCTTCCCTCGCGACTTACGAAGTCGATTATGGTTTACTAACAACGGGCTTTGCAACGCGTCGCTTTCATCCTACTTGTAGACCAGGATATATTTAGTGAGAAAAAAACTAATTCTGCCGGGACTCGAACCCATGACCTGGCCCTTAGAACGCTGCGAGGTTACCTACTAGACCACCGGGGCGACCGGTGCTGTAGTTGTCCCGCGTATCGCTCGGTGTGAATCTCGATGCGATATGCGATTCCGTGCTGCCACCTTCGCATATCGGCCCGCTAGGTGAGAAGCACCGACACCCTGTACCAACGCTGCGTTTTGTTCTCGTCTTGGCTCTAACGTGGCAACAACAGGATGCGTGAGGCTAGGTGCGGGTACCCTTGCCAGCATTGCCGCGCCGAAAAAGTCCAAGACACACAAGACCTATTGGTTCCAGGCGAACCACCCACAAAACAAATCGCACTCACCACCACGACTCCCCGGACCACCGAATCCAGTTTCATCAAGCCCGACAACGACTTGCTTTCCCAGCTGGGCTAGGCATTCCCTGCCCCCCTGCTGCGCCTGCTGTGCTATGCTGGCAAATACGCCGCGTTCGCAAAAAAAAAAATGAGATTGCCGCCCGTTGACATGCCATGAAACCGTCGGACAAATATCTTCTTCGACATCGGACGTGGACAGTAGAAGAACAGAAGCTTTCAGGTCTCGGGCTACCCGTGCTTCCTACCAAGCGGTAGCTGATCCACCGCAAAAACCAAGGGAGGTACAGACACCTACCGCCGCCCATTGGGGAAGCTCTTCCCATACCATCGTTCATCAATGACCATGGCCGACAAACGGGTAGTACGTAGAAGGTCAAACGGCCGGTTTACACCGTACTTCAGTGACGTCTGCCGCTAACAGGGCCTGCACGAGGGAAAATAATACCCCCGCCGTACAACTGGTGTCAGCATGACACCCGCAATGGCTGAACCTATGTCGGAGTTCCGTTTAGACGTCCCGGGTACCAATTTCTTCAGGGAACGGGAGCAGCGTCGCGCTCGGCAGGAAGCGTACCGGCGGGAGCTATCCTCACAAATTGCCGACACGGAGGCGAGACGGGAGCTGCACGCGCGGAAATTACGAGAGCTCGAGGAAAGACACGAACTGCAGTCGGTGAGCTCCGCACTACGAGTGTAGAAGTCGTGGGATGCATGAGTCCAGGCCCCGCATCTACATAGCGCTGGCCCGTTAGCATCTTGGGCTCAGAAAATAGGTGGTAAGACTACAGCATGTTGACGGGGAGTACACCCTTATCACGGGCGCACGCTCAAATTGACGTTGTTTGTAACCTCTTCCAATCCAAAACCTTCAGCCATGGGGAACACATCTCGAATATTTTCTGTTCGAAATGTAGCAAGTATACGAGGCGTCCGCCTTAGTTGCACCGGTACGGATATCGAATGAGCAGAGACCGGGACGATTTTGTAGAAGAAGTAACAACCAAGCGAAGTATGCACAGTGTAATAGTACAAGCAATTCTTCACAGAGACGTTTTACTTGTGCTAGGAAATGAAAAAGGGTCCCCAGCTCATGTACATGCGCATCGCTACATACTACGTCGTGACCTGGCGTTTTCAAAAAAGGCCACTTACAATCCGTGGGGCAAGCCAGGCTCTGGAGCACCCCTGAGGCAAGCGGACGGTGCCCTTGTCACGAACGTTAAGTAAGTGTGCGTGTTGCTGGAAAAGGGAGAAGAATAAACAACACAAGCAACAACGTTAGACCCAAGACTAGTTTTTAGAAGCCCGCTCACTGTACGTAATAGCTTAGGATTCAACAGCTGCCACGCTTCGGATCCCACGACCAACGTTGAATATACGAAACCAAGCTAGTAGAGTGGTCAGCGCTGACTTGTTGGATACTTTTTTTCTAGGTTCCGCTTGAAAATCCAAATATTTGGATTTCTATACAGCTCAGCAACGTTGATGTTTTTCCGTGTGGTTATTTTTCCCCAGGGCGTATTACCGCGCCAAACAACGGGGGTTGATTGCCCAGGACCTATCACCCAACGAGATCGGCGACAACGAGCAACCGTTCGGGTACACCCTCACTACCAAAAGTAAGATGCAACGGTTCAACGGTAAACGTTCGGGGCCTCACATTGGATTTCGAGGCCTCTGGTGACAGACGGGTGGTTGTGCTGGGGGCGTACAACGGACGAGTTGTAGCCCTAACCCTCACCCTCTAAGCCTTACGTCAACGTCTATCGGACGTATGTGATACGTGACACGCCAGATGTAAAGTGCGCTAATGGCTTAAAAGCAGCAACTATTGCTGAATGCCTACGCTATGCCCGTTGTTACGTTGTGTCCACTACGGTAGAAAACACTGCGAGTGATTGATGAGTGCTCAACGTAAATGCTGGTCATTTGGCAGGAGGATGACGTGGCAATTGAACCGATATTCCTTCGAGCGGTCGGCCTGCAGATGTTCACACAACCGAAAAAAAAACGGTACGAAAGAGGGCACAGCATGCTTTTTTAACCACGGGAAAACGTTTCGCCTCTATCCACAAGATGATTCAAGATTTCGCCCCCAGAGCAAGAGTTACACCGTTGTTGACAGGCATACCGGAGGACAGGTCGCCGCTGCGGACTAGCAGAAGTGCCGCCTGTGCCGCCACCGGCAAGGTGGGAGAGCAAGGACCGCGGTCGATCGACGCAGTGACGGTTTCGCTGTCTCCTCCTCGAAACAGATACCGCTTTGACCGGCTTCCGCCCGAGGAGCAAAGCTACCTCGATCGACGGATGAAGGAGCGACAAGAGCTGGAGGTAAGTGGTACTCTCAGTGCTTCGGCACCAAGCGTAGTTCATTTTGTCTGCATGCCTCATCGGTGCATTTTGATAGACAGAGAGATGCGTCCAGGGTTTCAATGCTCCACTGGAGCGCACAACGGTGCTTCGATTGCCGGTCGCTTGTCCTGCGTATGATCTCCCGGTAGTGTTTTGCTTTTCTTTGCTGGGAGTACTTCACACCGTTGCTCCTACTATTGCCCGTTGCTCAATTCAGACTGTCAGTGAGCTCTCCAGCTTTTTTTCTTCTCGTTGTAAAAGAGTCCCAGCATGGCAAACTCTTTCTGCGGGTGCTTCGCTGCCCTCCCTTCCCGGATGCTCTCTGTGCGTGGTGCTTCTATGTTCCTCAACACATGCACTAAGAGCGGGCCTCGCAATCTACTTGGACCCCACAGTAGACCTGCCATCGACTCCACCATACCCTGTGGACTCTTCATAGTCATGTGCACACGCGGAGCTCTGTGCACACACGCCCATACGTCCAGGCAGCGTTGCTTTCTCAAGTGGAAGAAAAGCGCGCTAAACGGGAGCTCGAGAGGGCGGCTAAGCAGGCGGAGGATAAAGAGGAGCGAGCGAGGGTGCTACGAGTGCTGGCTGAGGAACGTGCAGCAAACCGCCACAGGTGACGGAACTTGTTTCGGATTATTAGACTAAATACCCCGGTTCACCGGCGTAGATGGTAATAATCTTCGAGTTTGGCACGTAGACTATGTGAGCAACGCGAGGTTTCTTTTTCTATTTTGTTCTTCAACTCCAAGACTGTCTTTAGAAGGCGTGATTAGAAAACTACCCAAGTGTCCATGTTTCGACTCAGCATGTTCGTCAGAATGCCGGCGTTGGTGGAATGTCCAGACTCAGCAATCTGTTTCTTACCCAGAGTCACTCAATGGTCGTCCATCATGTAGCTTGTCGATACTATTGAATAGCAGTGCCAGAAATATCCACAAGACGGAGATACTCTTGGCTGTTCCGTGTCCTTCTCACAGGGTGAGAGATAAGAACCTGCGGGCGGGAGAAGCGCCGCCGGCCCTCTCCCCGAGCAGCGGCGGGGCCGGTGACCACGGGTGGCCGTCCCCACAACGGCAGCTGCATCGGGACGAACAGCAGGCGGACATAACACCCCAACGGCACCGGAGAAATAGTAGGTTTGAGGAGGTGTCGTATGCGGCGCGTCCAAGAGGTGGCCTAAACGGTGGTGGCCGGGCCACGAGACTCAGTGGCGGAGGGGGGTGGATGGGCGATGGTGCCGTTGGCGGGGCTGGGAGAGCAGCAGGGCCGGAGGCGGCGATGAGCAGTGAAGTGGATCGGAACAGTGTTCTCTTGATCTTGCGGAGACTTGAGGATCACGGCCGGGTGAGTGAAAAGACATGGCAGGATTAAATTGGCTTCCTTTTCTTGGAAGCCTCTGAGAATGCACCGATCTGAAAAGGCCACGTGTGCGCCAAAGTGATGTTTCGACGCAGACATCGCGTAATCTGCTCTAATAGTCGACGCCCGGGCGCTGTCAGAGTATGTCGGGTAGAAAGACAGACCGGGGTGATTTACCGGGCGGCGAACTGCTGTGGGAGATGACTCGACGTAAGACCAATGGGGTGGACAGAAGAACATTGAAACCATGGGCGCTACCACCAGGCCCGGACTCCAGATGTCGTCCAATCCAACGCGTACGAAACCCGATCAGATTCCTGGAAGGCGATCACGGCGACGGTTGAAGGGGTGCCCATGAGATGGATCTATAAGATTTAGTTACCAAAATGTAAATATACGCCTTTGTGGTCTATAGTTGTGAGATGCATGTGATCACCGCTACCGTGGTGAAGCAGCCTGCATGGTCAGAAAGTAAAGCCTCCCGCACCCACAACATACCCCGTTATGGGATGGGCAATCGCCATGTGCATCCAATACATGGTATCCCGACAACGAGCCAGACCAACACGAAAACCATCGATATACGTACGCCTGGTGCGCCTATGAAGTCAGTTACGCCCGTCATGTTCGCCCACCACAATGCAGATGTTGGACCGGCTGGCATCAGAACTTGCGGAAGTGAAGTCTGCACAACGACCCTCACCGGTCCAGGTATGCCTGCTTTTCCGTATCCAATACTTGTACGCCAGACAACACTCTTCTCCCTTCTTCCCCTCGCTCCTCGACAAGCTTTTGCTTAGACATGGGTGGTAGTGAAGGGGGGGGTCTTTCTGGCGAGCAGGGCTAGACTCACCCTCAAGGGATGACCGAAACCTTCTTGCTGCTGCGCATATCCGCCGCGAGGCATGCGCGTGGTGGTGTAGTTGGGTCGGCACTGATGGGGTCAG